AATAAATAAATAAATAAATAAATAAATAAATAAATAAATAAATAAATAAATAAATAAATAAATAAATAATAAATAAATAAATAATAAATAAAAAAAAAGAGGTTGAGCTCCTAGTACAATACCTGCAGAGATCAAAGCGTGATCTGAAGAAATCACTTTAGATGAGGATGGTAAACGTAGTGCTACTTCAACATCATGCGGAGATGTCACGTCAAATAATGCAACATGGATCTTCTGCGGTACCCCAATGTCGAATACATCGGGAGCCATGATGACATGCCTAAATTTATACGCGGAATTTCCCTTTTTAATGAATCATTTGCACTTCTATCTTCATACAAATAAGACGCTTTTCAGTGATGTTTCTTTTGTCATTGCAATGCAATATCTCAGGCCGCAGCTACAGTTAGCAAATACGCACCTATATTGCGGACTTAGTTTATGAAACCTTTCCAATGCTTTACCTTATTTWAAAAAAATTATACATGCTTTTTTATATTAACTCATTTGAAATGACTAAAAGTAAGAAATAAAGAAAAAAGGACCTTGAAAGAAAAACATTGTTAGTGCATGATTCACTGCGCAACTAATCCTACGGTTTCAGAGAATTGGAACTCTACTTAAGTACCAAATTCAAAACACTTATTTCGCCTCGTAATAATACTTTGAACATACCTTGGAATTGAAGAACATCCTGCAACAATCAGGGAAAGCAAAAATAGTGTCCACATTATGCGCTCTCCAGTACTTGTATTGATGGTACTTTCAATGATAATTGCGTGCTTTCATTCTCCTTGTCCTTACGGAAAACATGATAGTTTTCACGGCCTTGTCTTTTTATAGCGATTTTAAGAAGTCGAGTCATTAGATATTRTTTTACTTGGGTCAATTGTTGGAACTATCAAGTCACCTAACTTCTCTGTCATGCTTTAGCGTGTAACTAAACCGTCTGTCATCAGGTCTACTACTTCCTGTTAGTCTACCTATTGAACCATTTCCAACGAAGCGGTCCCTTGGGGTACTTCTTTTACAAGTGGCAGGGGTTATTGGCGGTCTGTTTTGAAAACGAGCCAAAAAAGATACGCACAAATTAAAAGAGCTGTGGAGGCGAACGGGACTCTAACCTAGGTTATTCTGCATTCAATGTCCTAGAACGGTAGAAAACCGAACGAAAACCCAGATCAGAGCAAAGACAGGATATTAGCTGATAAACAACTCTACTAGTTCATATACCATAGCGTGTCCAGTCGGATTCAACTCAGGCTAACTAGTGTAAGGCTAAAGAGGCTTCAGCCATAAAACTAACCCATCCCATGCATGTCAGACTGTTTGTTTAGTTCCAAAAAGCATGAGTGTGGTTTAAATTAATATTATATTAATTGACTTTTATTTAATAAGGTTGACACTTGCTTGATAGTCGCAACTTAGCAAGCACTAAGTCAGCTAGTAACGTCTCGGAATGGCACAAGACCGTCATCAGGTTTTACGGGCTTGCACTACTGAAGAATGGTTGAAAGAAAACGAAATATCAGGGTTTATTCTATTTCGCAGAACGAAACAAAAAGAAATAATGTGTTTGAATTGAATTAATGTTAATAAACCTTCAAGTGCAGCTTCTTTTGGTTCCCTTCAATGTTCCCAGTCTTTGCGCATGTACCATACCAAAACACTTTCTAGGCCAACTGACAAAACACATTCTGCAAGGGATTGTCTTCTGTATTCCCATTCTTAGTGCTAACTTTGCTATTCTTTTTGCTGTATCTTTTGAACAAGAGGAATAACTTGAAAAGTAAAGCTATTTCATTGGGCWGTTGGCAGGCGCCATTTTGAATACAACAGGGACCCCACGTAACACAAAGGGAGCAAWTTTTTTTAAAGCTTGGTAGAAAACAAAAAATTAAATAAAATAAAAAAATAAAAAAAGGGAACGAAGCAAAATTGTATCATCATTCAAAAACAGTTATGTATTGAATAGTTAAGATCTGTTCAACACATATATAATTTTAGTACTAACATAACTTTATTGTTAAATTTTATAAGCATGGGCGATTTAACAAGCAATTAGCTAATTAGGCTGCTTCTACATTTCATACCCTTTGATTCAATACTGATCACATGCATCTGACTATATAGAGACTGCCTAACTTATTCCCAACTCATATCAATCATCAAATGAGTTAAAATTGACTTATTAGTATAAAATAATTGATTGGTTGGGAGCGCGTGCTTTATGAGAGCACACAACACGCGCTGGCACTTTCAGTTGCGTCATTCCTATCCGAAATAATCTGAGTTATTGTAATTTTCATCTTGTTAAAAGAAATAAAAAACCTGCTTGTTGTGCTTTGTGCAGTTATAAAGCACTTGGGGATTGGCATAGCACTTGTGTTCTGCCAACCCCCGCGTGCTTTGTAACTGCACGCAGCACGCGCGCGTACAGTTTCATTAATTTTCTATAGTTTCTTTAATTTTTATTTGTTCAATCATGAAAAGTCTCTGAYCAAGAACCACATCCTCTTCTTTTAATGCGTGCCGCAAGCTTATCCACGTACTCCTCCTCATTTTTATCCAATTTCTTAACGAAGGCATCGTTGTTTAGTACGTATAGGCCATGTTTTATCTGTCCCATAATAAGAACAGTCTCTTTCATCCACAAATGTGGATTTACGCAAATAGCTTGCTTTCTGAACTCAATTACATTTGTTGCATTGATAAGTTGGACGTCTTTTCCCGGCTGTTTGAGAACGGTGATAACTAGGACATTATAAGTTAACCATGTGTTGTCCTCATCTATGAATACAACCTGTCCTTTGATTGCTGAGAATATAATTGAAAAGTTATATAAATATTTCCTTTTCTCGTTTACCCGCGTTGTGTTCCATGACTACAGAAGCATTAGCCAAGTTTTAGACCACATCAATGTAAAGAATATGAAAGTTAAACAATTCATATTTATACAATGTTTTGAAATCCCACACAGCGTACTTTTTAATGGTATCTGTGAATAACTGACTTACAAACGAGGCTAAGCCTGTGCAAATGAGTCAAGAAGTCAAGGCATCACTTACCATAATCAAATTGTTTGCATATTCTTTTCTTCAATCTGCCAGCATTTCCAAGACTAGGATTCGCAAGGGGACATTTGCCTACGAGATCAATATGGTAACCATGTCAAACTTTGAAGAAAGTAGCTTATTAATTTTGGTTTTAAGTTTAGGAGAAGCAGCAATGGTGCAGGACGAAAAAACCTTAATGTCTTCCTTTGGGAAATATATTGCTATCTTTCCCTGGAAAATAGTATTATTACTACACTATTACAATTGGCTGTCTTCAATCTAGTTTATCATTTGATAGCAAATTTATCATATAAATTTATTAGACAGGTATCTCTTGCCTTGTGTGCATTTGCAGAAGCCAGTGTCTTTGCATTTACCCACAGACTTTGAGCTTGGTCCAAGATTATAGAAAACAGTACAAGAATCATCAGGCTCATAGTAGTCATACACTTTCACAGGCACAGGCTGAATTCCACCAACATGAAAATCTCGAAATACGCCAAACGCCACACATAATGGCTTAACATTGTCAATCTATGCATAAAAGGATTGTGTTAAAAACCTTCCTTAATAATTCTAATTTATGACAACCCTTGTGTAATTTGCAATCTACTTGAAAAACTGTTTMTAGGAAAAGAACAGTTTGGCAATACGACATGCAGAAATCTATTATCAATTTGCAAATAAAGAAATGCCAAAACCAAAACACCTAGATACCACAGGAAAAAATAGATGTAATAACCTTAACTCACCCGATCCAAGTAAAACACAACGGCTCTGTCAGATAACTCGTATCTTTCGATACTGCTATTATCTTTCTTTACCAACTAGAATAAAAAAGTAAGGAATGAGTAATCATTTATTTAAATCAACCGGCCATTATTATTATTATCATCATTATTATTATTATTATTATTATTATTGTTGTTGTTGTTATTTGGATGCAGTACCTTGGCCAAGGACTCTTCGATGACACTATATCCAGTCAAAATTCCGGCATCAATTATGGCCATTCCAGTTGTTCCACGCTTTTTAAAACTATACACCGCACAATAAACACAAAATATTGATATATTTTTGATTGTCAAGTATAATGTCTGACCCATGTTCAGAAAGTATGAACACCTGGGTTCAAACCATTTACTCTAATATAAACACGTATGCAATAGTAAAAGCCTACCTTCTTCTCTGGCGTACTGCTTGGGAGGTTGTGCAAAGGGATTACTCAAATGTGTAAATTTGTACCCTTTTTGGATATTTTAAGGTRTTGGAGTGTCGGTTGGAGATCTGGAATCTGAGACCGAAAAAAACTTTAAGCCGTCTTTTTAATTCATTGTTCGCAACAAGTTAATTCATAATGCAAGCTTTCAACGTTTACCTACGCTGGCAAACTGTCTGGCTAAGCTAGTGTATTTTGAATTTTTAGCGAGAAAGCACTCAGAACTTCCAAAATTTCACTCCATCTTAAATTTCAGACTTCAGATCTCCAGCCGACAACGTTTTTGGAAATAGGGGTGCATTACCTACCGTGCACAAATGCTAACTATTAGTTTCTTAGGTATTTCGTGTTTTTGCAATGGCTTTTTTGTGGGTTTTTTGTGTCCAGTGCGTCTTTTACTTGGCCTTTTTTYCCCTCTCTTGCCTTTCCTTTTGTTTTTCTTTCCTTTTCTCTTTCTACCTTGAGTGGCCATTCTTGTGCCCTTCTGGGGCCCTTCACTTTCAGTTTTAGATACCAATTTGCCACTTTCGTCCTCTGTGATTTTTATGCTCAAGTGAAAGTCACATTTGTCCTTCTTTTTAGACGGAACATTGTACTTGACATTAATCTGGAACCAACCAGAATATAGATWAAAAATGTTTTTACCATGAATAAATATTTTTAAGCTAAAGGAAGTCAGTAGTGTAGAACTTTATTACACATTTAGACTCAAAAACCATATCAGTGAAGTGATACGATATCATTCACTTCACGGTAAACTGGAAACTGCAAATTTTGTTATTTTATCGACCTTAAACGTATAATAAACAAATTATTTCATAAGTTTAAGAGTTTCATTTAATGTTTAGAGCCTGATATCTTGTTTATTTTCACTAGTTTTCCATATTATATCACTAGCTCGCAGACTCGCTTGTTCGCGATATGATATTCTCTATATGACAAGGCAGCTTTTTTTTATTATCCATTTATTCCCCATGAGAATAAAAAAATGCCGAGGCCACGCGGGGTAAACTTTTGCTTCAGTCAACATGGCTGCCACAAGTGATAAAAGTCCATTAAAAAACCTTCTCAATATATATATATATATATTTACACATAAGAAAATATATGCTTRCCTGTAATTGTCCAACTCCCGTTCCTCTACTCTCAACCATGAGTTCTTTATCTATGTATGGTTTAATCTGCGTTCATTGAATTGAAAACATGTTGGTTAATGCATTAGGTGAAAACAAAACAAAACAAAATGGATTATTGTTCGATCAATGCAAGTTTTTTATGGTCCTTCTCTCTCAGGCAAATACTAATAAATGAATAATGGCTTTTCAAGATTCTTCTGGCTGGCTGCTTTTAAAGTAAACCAAATAAGACCTGTCGCTATATTACAATTAACAATTAACAAATATTAAGTGAATATCGGGGAATATTTACCGACACGCGAGCCTTCGACACAAGTGAATTTAACAAATAATGGAGAGAGATTTTTCTTGTCTTTTCAAATTCTATTTATCTCTGCTGCAAACGGCACCAATCGACAGTAGGTGAATAAAGCAGCATAAGATGTAAATTGTGACCAATGAGCGCGCCGGATTTATTATATTCACTTGTGTAAAAATACTAATAACTATTATAGCATGTAATAACGCAAGTTTTTCTTCGATCCTTTTTAACTTGTACTTACATCCACTTCTTGTTGTAACAGAGCAGTGTCTTTGTTTAGTTTCTTCGATTTGTTTTTTATCCAGACTTTCATGTCAAGCTTGTTCATGTTTGCTAGTTCACTGTACTTTGCCAAGGCTTCCAGTGCAACAGTTGTGTCCTGCAAATTATCCAAATTACATTAATTTGAGTGTTTTCTTCAGAGGCAGGGGCGGATCCAGGAATTTGTTCAGAGAGGGGAGCAGCGCAAATAGTTAACCCAGGGAGGGGTGCACCCCTTAGAATCAAAGGGAAAAAATATTATTTTGTATTGGTTAAATCTTTGAAGTAGGGGCACAAAGTCGAACCAGGGAGGGGTACGCACCCGCTGCACCCCTCCCCTGGATCCGCCACTGAGAGGCAAGGACGTCTTGTTGGTATATTGGCTCTTACTTCTCAATTGACACGGTTTTCTTTGTTATTCRCAAGGCTTTATTTTTGTTATAACCCTCATTATAAATGCGAGGTCAATATATAGTTATCAACCCGGTTAATAGCTATATATAGACCGTTCGCATTTATAATGAGCATCAATTGATAGAAAACCTTCTCAATTGATAAATAAAATACTTGATTACCTCGAACGTCGACGATAAGCCATAAACATCCCGAGGGCCGCAGGTAATTAACTCTTACTTACTGACTCAAAAAAACGGTTTATTACCATGAAGGCATATTTTATTATATTTAGCGTCTCCATACGTGCCCTAACTCATGTTAACACTGCTTCAAAATCAAAATTTTGTCGATACTCTAAATCAGGGCTCTTCTAACTCACATGCAGCTACAAATCGAACCTTGAAACAACCTCTGGGCTGATCTAAATCAGGGCATGGCTAACTCACAGCTACAGATTGAACACTGAAACAATCTCTGTGCCTAACTCATAGATACAGATCGAACGTTAACCCTGAAATAACCTCTGGGTTGATCAAAATCATATGTTGTATCAAGGTTATGTGTTTTGCAAATGGACGAAAATCCGAAGAACCAAGAAAAAAAACCCTTGAATCAAAGGAGAGACCTAACAAACTCTACTTGCACGTGCTGGAAATCGAACCCGAGAACGGCTAGAGTTGGGAGCCGAAAGCGCTACCGCCACTCTACTCTTAATTACCATTAATGCCTCTATCAACATGTCGCCTTGTTTACGGGTGCTCCCAAATAAAAGAACATTCTGACAATAGCATTCACGAGGAAAACCTGAAAATGAAATTTATATGAACATGGCTGTATTAAGATGGGCGATTTATGTAACTATGAACTATAAGTTTTCMGTACTCACCGTCGTAGAAGCAAATCCACCTTTAGGACCTCTTTGTTTAGTCAACCAGACTACAATGGGACCAGCATACTCCAATCTGTTCAAGGCCACTTGAGCCAACAATGCGTAAGCAGCAGTTTTGATATTACGTGTTCTTGAACCTGTTTCCCAATATCGAGTTGATGTTGCTGGAAGAAAATGTGCATTCGAAGACGAGTATATTAATTTATTTGAATAACTTTGAAATAATGAAACATGGTATGGGCTCTATTAGAAATGACAAACATGTATTGGAACGAGAAAGGGAACCAGCATAGTGGTATTTACAGCTAAATCGAAATCATGTAATATAATCCTTAGAATATAACTGAGAAGCCTTGTATTTTAAAACTGAACAATATCAACATACGAACTACCGCCTTCTGTAAATTAGAGTAATACTAGTTGATCATTCGATAGAACATTTACTGAGCCTGAGGCGAATAATCATTTTAGTATTTTTAACACAAGTGAATTTGATAAATAATAGAGAAAGAGTTTGATTTTTTTGTCTTTTCAAATGTTATTTATCTCTTCCAGAGGCACAAATCGAAAACGAGCGTGCGCGAGTTACATTTACCTATAGGTGAATATAGCAGCATGATGAGACGTAAATTGTGGCCATATATTATATATTGTGGCCGGATATATTATATTCACTTGTGTAAAAATACTAAATGGCATTATCAGATTTAGATTGTTCAGTAAAATTAATCAATGATTCTGGCATCATGATCAACGGTGTTATACTACCGAGCTGAGTTATTTGGAATCGAGGAATGAATCTTAATTATTGTTCACTTTTTTCATAAAAAAAAAAAAAAAAAGAAAAAAAGAATGCTGCCAGCTTAAACAAGCAAATAAAGAGCTCTATTTTTTGCCTGCGATGTCCTATATACAGTCAACTCTCACCTTGTGGACACCCCAATATTACGGACACCTCCCTATTACGGACAGGASAAAAATCCCCGACAAAAATACTGACAAAGAAATGACCGTAAATAATTTTCGCTATTGCGGACGCTCGCTATTACGAACATGAAGTGACGGTCCCGAAGGTGTCCGCTGCAACGAGAGTTGACTGTATATGGCAAAACGTACTACGAACCAATTTTACATACTTTAAATTAAACGTTTATTAAAATAGGATTAAAAAATAAACTTGAGGAGTCCTAGTGATATTAACGTTTTTAAGAGGGATAAATGAGCTAGTTAAATATATATTATATATTTCTATAATTCTTTGCGAGTGTTCACTACCCAGCATTCATAGCACCAACGAGCAACCCGCCATTTTTAAACAGCTTCTGTCGTTTCTTTTCCTCGCCTATTTGGCATTTTCTACACCTTTAGTTCTTGAAGTATCAGTGGGACACTTCTTTAAAGCTTTTGGATGAACATTTGCACGTGAAGTTCAAGTTCCAAGCCGAATGGTGAGTAAATTTAATATAATAGTTTCATATCTGCACACCAGACTTCTTGATCATACGATACATACAATAAATCCAAGACAAAATACTGACRAACTTGCACTAAATAGAAAATACTACTATTTTGCTCAATTGATGTCGTTTATTTCAAACTGTTTTCGGGTAGGGTTTTACTTAACATTCGAAGATTCGAAGATTCTTTTATTGATGGGTTGCAAGCATTTCCAAGAGAGTCAAAAGACAAAAACATGGCGGCCATTGTAGTGCCGTTAACAATGGATGCTAATGAGAAATCTTTTGTTAAATGGCACCAACGCTYCCCCGGGAGGCCGCGATGACGTAACGTGCAATCGAAGAATATGTAATGGCAATTATGCAAAAAAAGAGAAGGCCTTTAATACCAACCTGAATTAAAGGTTGCCATTTCGACCAATAGTCTGTTAGCTCTCATTTTTTCAGGACTGTCCGCCAGTATTAAGGCATACGTTGTAAGGGCTAGGGTGTAAGCATCGGTAAGGTTTGAAATGCTTTCCTTTAAAATAGTTGTAGCTCTTTGAACGGAAGCATTCTCTTGCTTCAAAATGAAAAAATAAGTCAATAGTTAGTCCTAAATTCAAGTTAAAAAGGTTTACAGAAATTAGAGGATATCCAAAGGAGTCAGTATTGGGATAATAATCACAAAATTATAATTATACTAAAAATTTTACTTTACAACGCTTTTCATAATTCTGCAACCTATAACGACTCCAGACGTCCAAAACGGATACGTGTGGTAGGTGAAAGCGATTCGAATACGCTGCGTGTGGACGTGTGGACACAAACATTTTCGTATCCGCAAAAAATAATTTGCGGATACAAAAATTTCCTGATACGTGTGGACGGGGACTTGAAGAGATATGGAACAGTTGTCTATGATTGGTTGAGCGAGAATTTTATTGTCGCTTGTGCAGATAGGAATAAGCTCCGGCCCGTTCTAAGTTTAATTAACGTAAGCCAAAACGCTAGACGTCTTGAGTCGGTAGGTAGCAGAATTAGAAAAAGTGTTGTAAGACCTAGATTTGATACTCACATATCCTCCACATTGACATTGTTTTAGTGCGATTAGCACGAAAGCTGTCAATGTCATATCGCTTGTGTATGCACCAACGTTACCATGATAACCCTATTATTTTATAAAGCTTCATTAATACTACATTTCAATTACGTACACATGTACAGTATTATGATGGAGGGGCTGTGGTCTTTATGGCAGTGTTGACATGGGCGATAGCACTTACGCGTGCTTTATTTTGAATATTATATATATGTGTTAAATTTCATACTCGCATCTTCTTATTGCTGTAGCAAATTGCATATAAGCCGGTGAACGGAAAAAGTAAGCTAGTTTTTTCGTTGATGCTAAAAACAACAAACAATATGTCCGTTCTTCTTCTTTTTTCCTGGCCAGTCTAAAGGGAAACGGAAAATAGTTAAAATAAAATATAGGAATTTTCCTTACCATTCCTCTAATATATTTCACTTTCAAATCTTCAATAAATACACCGTCTTCTTTTCGTTGTTTCTTTAGCAGCCAGTTTGCAGATTCACACAATACTTCTTTGTCAATTTTAATTCCTTTTATTTTTCTGGCTTGACAAAAAACTTTCACAACAAAAGCAGTCAACCTACAAATAATAATGATTCATAATTGAATTTGTCTTAATTGAGGAATGGTCAATGCTTAGCGTGCGTACACTGCATACAGTCAATTCAAAAAACGTTGTCGTCGACCAACTCAAGCCTACGCGACTGGACCGAAAGGAACTCTGGGTAGTAATCATTGAAGCCGAGTTGACTCCATAATTTTATCTGACTAGTTATGCCTGGTTTACAGCACGAACCTTCGTAGGCGTGCGGGAAGAGTTGAAGGAGACGTTTTTTTTAATGCCTTCATATTTTCGAAATTGTGAACTGAATCATAACTACTTTATTTTTCTTTCCCTAGACCGAAAGACATGCATTTGACGGATTGTTTCTCGCCATTATTATCTTTACTACTAGCGGGAACAATTAATTCAGAACGAATATTTAACCGCTTCAGTGAATTTTACCCATATTTCTTTCGGTCCAGTCGCGTAGGCTTGAGCCGGTCGACGACAACGTTTTTTGAATTGACTGTATCCAGTTCTGGATGCACGCGGGAGGTTGCTAAGCACGAAAGAAGCGTAAGAGTCGCACAACGCGTAGCCGAGTAAACCTCTAACTTCTTGAGTGCTTAATTAGGCAACCTCCTAAGTGCATCCAGAACTGGATATACGCACAAATAAGCATTGACCATTGCTTTTATAAAATAGCAAAACCATAAAGAAATATTTGTTGATCCAAAAAAGTTCAAACTTCACTCAATCACGGCACTGTGCACCATCCATTTCTGAATGCACGCTCGCACAATGATGTGGTTACTTGAGGATTTTTTCCCGTTTTAATCTCATTTATTAACATATAATAAAAGCTGCAAGCGGRTAAGAACCATGCATGGGTCGACGTTCTCCTCAGTTCACTTTCGTATTTTGCTATGCTAATTCCCAGTACCCTAATTTCGCATCTCTTGCTTKGTTAAATTTCATCTTGGAAGCAGTCATTCTTTACTAAGTTCAGATGATAAGGTACTTTTTATTTTGAAACTTTGATTCATGCATTCACGCTGCTTCCGCCAGTTATTATCTTTTTTCCCAGRACAGTTAACATTGTTGGTTTACGAAAATCCATATGAATCTTAGTGGCGTACAGGTATTTGCAGTTACTAAGAACTCTATATGTAAGTTACCATGTGCTTCCAGCTCGATTTGATTTTGAAAAGTAGGCAAAAGAACCATCCTCTTGTCGATAGTTTAACTCACGAGCGTAACCTGAAGTTAAAACAAGAAATGAATTATTTGCTTGCAAATAGAGATTGACACTTCAAAAACGACTCTATTTTAAACTAGTTTTATATTGCAATGCACAGTTTTTGTGGTCTTAACAGTCCTGTATATTACTGCTCTATTTTTCAATATTCCCCTTCACAGTTCCCTGCGCCATCTTGAAAGGTAGCCGTGCCTTTGCATCGAAGCGAGACGAACGGTGAGCATGCAATGATAGAGACCTTTTATTTTTGTTTATTTTTTATTGTTATTAAACAGCAAAACAACAGATTAGTTTCATTACCTTGCTGAATATAATCATTTTTCTTGCTTTCCATTTCCTTTGTCATTTGATTGGTTGCTTGCAAATAATGTAGAGCGTACACATTCGGTCCTACTGCATTCATATTCTGTTCACCACAGCCATAAGGTAGGTATAGTAGATGTTTGAGTTGCCCAACAGCGATATTAGTCACAGCTGGTCCAATCATATTTCCTACATATGTATTGTAAAGGAATGTGGTGCAGAATTGTTCAATTTTTGGTTACAATAATGAAAATTGGCACATAGAAGACCACATGCTGACTAATTATTTTTATTTTTTCATATAATGGATATGTTATTATATATTTAGTATTACTTTGGGTGGCATAGGTTCTTTCGGTAATGAAATGTATATTCTTAGCATTAATATTGTGATTCTTTTTTAACTTCTCATGAATGATAAATAAATTTTCTATTTGTATTTTCTGTATACACGACGACACTATATAAGCTTATTTATTTACAATCTATAATCTTCCTAACAGTAACTATATCTGGAACTTAATTTATTAACTGGGGACCAAAAAAGTTGTAGCGCCAAAGCAATTTACAAATTTCAAAATATGAAAAAAAAAAAAACAAAACAAAAAAAAACAAACAAAACAACGAAGAAAGTGATAGGGATGTAGCGTCTTAGCCTCTCCTCAATCTTTGAACTTTACAAACTTTACACAATCGACTGAAGCAAACACACTATATATTAACCTTAGTTACCCCTAAAACTTTCTTGCCCAGCATCAAGAAAACATGCTCTCTCAGTACTAATCTTTCTATAACAGTGGCGATCGAAAAATTCTACCCCAGAATACGCACCTGTTAAGTAGACCTTAGCATCAACAGATTCTGGAACAGCTTTTTTGTTTATCTTCAGTAGAATTTTGTCCACTTGCTCGCTCCTTGATGTATTGTGTGCTTCTAAACGCAGGATGAATATTGCTCGTTATACGTAAAATCTTGCACAACTCAAAAATCCTCAAATAAAGTACTTACGTTCACTTTGAAAGGAAAGCTTGTCAGCGTCATTTTGCTGCTTTTCCCCCTGTTCCTTTCTGCCTTTGAAAAACTCTGAATCGAAAAAAGTATTTTCCCCAACATTCGCCTGTAAGAGTGTATTCGTTTATATGTGATACGAAATGCATAACGATATTCCCATTATGTTAACGAGGGTGACGATGATAATGACGGTGGTGGTGATGTATTATGGTGTACACGCATGCTTGCAAGAATTTACATTTATCTTTAATTTGTGAATTTGTTAAGTTTACTGTATGGGAATGAACTTAAAGGCAGCTGAATTTTCGGTAACTAGCAACTAGCAACCCTGCAGCTTCCTAGCTTAGCCCTCAAAATCTAGATACCTTTTGGATCCAGTACGTACGATTGAGTCAAGATTTCTTCAACGCCTTCGGGCTTAAAAACAAATTAAATTACAACGATCATAATCTAATTTATTACATCCATTTTGAAATCACAAGCAAATCCTGCAATCTGATTGGTTCCCTGCAGC